GTGGGGGGCTCCCCCTCCCAGCAACACACAAAACCTCCCGTGTCTCTTGCTTCTGGCATGCTGTCCCCTTGCACTAAAGCCCCTGCTGTCCCCCTGGAGCTGGGCATCGTCATGGAGCCGGGCATCTTCACAGAGCCAGACATCACCGTGGAGCTGGACCACTGCCCCATTTATGACAACGAGCTGGAGCTGGCCCAGGTGAGGGGCCCGGTGGGGGCAGGGCGGGCAGCACAGGCAGTGTGGGCAGGGGCCAGGCAGTGCAGCTGCTCATCCTGGGCAGACCCCACATCAGCCAGCTGTGCCCCAGGGCTGTGGGGACATGCTGTCCCCTCTCCAGAGTGGCCGCAGTGACACGGAGCAGGAGCCCAAGCTGGAGGATGATGGTATCTACACAAACACCCTGTGTCAGGAGGAGGTGACACGGACGCCCGGCAGAGATTTCCTGGAACAAGAGGTTCCCTACTTGTCCTAGTGGAGTATCCCACGTGGACAGAGTGTCCCTGTGGGGCCACCCCCGGGGATGTCCCTGTGATTGCCCCTGGGGACATCCTTGCTTTGGCAGAGGAGGTGAAGGAGCATTGCGGCTGCTGCTGGCCCATCACCGTGGCATCTTGGTGGTGTGACAGCCTCTGCCCACAATGCTGGACCCCAGGGACATGCTGGGACTCCGAGAGCCCCCCAGTCCTGCATTGCTTTGTCAGACTGACCCGTGCCTCTCAGCTGGAAAGAAACCACATCCCCAATTCCTGCCCAGGCTGAGGACCAGGATGCTTTCCTGGCTTGGCAGCAAACAGATCGATTTGGGTTCAGATAAATCCAATAAAGAAATTCCTGTATGGGTGCTTGCTCTGGAGGGCTGAGGGGACAATCTGGTGTGCCTGCAGAGTCAGTCTGCTGCTGTCATCCCCTTTGGGGGTCCCCAGGGCACCCCAGTACTGCAGGAGCTGCATTAGGAGGGGCAATGGGAACCGACGCTCACAGTGAGGAAGACGAGAGCTGTGGGGAGGTGGCTGAAGCCCCGGCTGACCGGAGTTGGCAATCTCCAGACACTTCCATAATTCAGATCTTGTTGCGATTTCCAGCGACTTGGCTCATCGCTGGTCAGCTGGCGCGCTCATAGCGAACGGGGTTAACTGATGATCAGAACGAGAACCCATGGCTTCCTTTGGCCATGGGGAGGGGGGACGGGGATGGGACAGGGGACAAGGAGGTGACTCAGACTCCAGCAGGGAGAGGGGTTCAAGCTTTCTGCTCTTTCCAAGAAGCATCGAGGAAGAAAGCCGTTGGCAAGGCGTTGGCGGCTTTGCTTTTTGTGTTTGGGTTTTGGAAATTTTCAGTTGAAACATTTAATTTTGGGAGAAAAACAGTGTTGTCACTCAAAGCCCACGGCTGCACCAAAAAAAGGCATTCTGGGGGGGAAATGAGACACTTCTGGTTGCGAAAACAAACAAGAACAGCCCAGGTCACGCTGGCAGCCGGCTTGGGAGCCGGGGAGCAGCGGTGCAGTGGGAACAGCTGTCCAGCATCCCAGTCCATCACCCCAGTCCATCACCCCAGTCTGTCATCACAGTCCATCACAACCAGGAGAGCATCCCACTGGTCCCAACTGGTCCATTCCCTCTGAGGGCTGATGCATTCACTCTGCAGTCCCCGGACCCCACCCTGGCCTGACCCCTCTACAAAGCCCCCCAAAGCCCATCGGGCTCTGTGCAGGGGAAGGGGCTGTGCTCCCCCCTGGGATGGGCATGGCGGTAGAGGAACCCGCTGCATGTTGGCATTTTGCTGGGAACCAGGGGCTGTTTGAGAGCAAAAGCAGAGAGTGTCTCTCATGAGACACCCCCAGGGTGAGTCACGGTTCCTGGGAGAAGCAGAGGAAGCAACCGCCTTTAAAAATCATCCAGAGTCAGCGGGTGAACACTGCCCAAGGAAGCAACAGGAGGAGGAGGCTTGGAAAACTCCTGGGACACCTGGGTGCATGTGAACCTGGCTCTGTCCCACAGGGTGCTTTGTGAACAACCACAGGGAAAAATCCACATCAGGAGAGAGAAGGTGGAAAATGAGGATTTTCCTGGTTTGGACCCTTTTCCCAGGTGAGACCCGGGAGCACAGGTCAGGTAGTCCTCATCCCACGGGCTCTGGCTGAGCTGTGGAGAGGCTGGGACCGAGCCAGCCCAGGAAGCCACCGCGGTCACGGCAAGAGCCCAGCTGGTCCAGTCCTTTTCCTGTGGCTGGTGGATGGCTGCAGGCAGCGATCTCTGAGGTCTGCTGGTATTGCTGTCATGTGAACCCTGCTAATACAGCTTTTTTCTCATTTAATAACACGTGCTTGACGGGGGCTCTATTTTTAATGACTGAGATGTTTTTTAATGAAGAGATTTCCCATCTCACCTCAGCGACGCTCCCTGGCACTGCAGGTGCAGGGACACAGACCCCTGGGGACAGGGTGGCTTGAGCGCCCCAGGCTCAGACCCCTCCCGGGTCCCTGAGGTGATGCCGGTCCGTGCTGGCAGCACCTCTCCCTGTCCCCCACAGGCAGCTGGGCGGTAACGGGCCCCGCACAGGTGACAGCAGAGCCAGGCGGCTCGCTGGCAGTGTCCTGCAGCTACGAGCTGGGCTACGAGCTCTACCCCAAGTACTGGTGCCGCCCAGGCTTCCTCTGGTTTTGCTTCACCAACATCACCCAAACCAACGGCTCAGAGGTGATGGTGACACAGGGCAGAGTGTCCATCAGGGACAACCATGCATCACGCTCATTTACGGTGACGCTGGGCGATGTCACGCCGGGGGATGCAGGCTGGCACTCCTGTGGGGTGAGACGGCACTTGTGGTTCAGCCTGTGGCACAGCACCAAGGTGATGGTCTCCACAGGTAAAGATGGGTGGGGAGCACAGCGGGGGGCTTGCGATGGAACCTGTCACCTGGGTCACAGCACTGAGGACAGGGAGTCCCCAGCCAGGGGAACATGGGGGTCATCAAAGTGGGAACAAGCTCCTTGCAGGCAGGGAGACGTGCTGGAGGCTGCCCCAGGGAAAATTTGGGTGAGGGATGCAGAGCAGAGCTTCTCCCTCACTCCCATTTAGGGTCTCTGCTCCTCGAGCCCATCCCTTGGGGTTCCCAGTCCCTCCCAGTTAAACCCTCCTTCTCCTTCCTTCTCCTCCCCAGCAGCCA